TTTAACAACTAACCAATTCATTAAGATTTAGTGGCTATAAATTTCTTCACATATTCTAATTTTGATTAGATTACTAACTATTATTCTAATTTAGTTAATTCACCCTAAAAAGTAAGAACTTAACATTTTTTCCCGTTTACAACTGATACACACATCAATTGTTAATTTTTCGGATTAAGACTCGGTGTAAATGTAATGCACAATATACACATTGTTTTTTCAATATAACAACTAGGTCTAAATTAACGGCAATTAGCTTGGAGAGTCGGTGATTTCCTCCACCTTCCATAAATTTGGCCCGAGTTTTATATATATAACAAGGAAAAAAACCGTGTGTACGTAGAATTTCTACATTTTCAAGTTTATAAACTATTCCTATTTTTCAGATTAAAAAAAAAAAAACTATTCCTATTTTTCAGAACAAAAGATAAATAGAAATATTAACCAAGTGGAACACGTGATGCAATTCATTACCACTTTGCATACATAATACATATTCACCACGTGTCGTGGGAATGCGATTTATATAAATTTTAAAAATTGGAGGCGATTGTGACTTGTAACTTGTGTGGGCATTCCATATTTTCCGTACCAACTAATTTAACAGAAACATCTCTTTTAATATAGAAAAATCTATATTTATAATAGCAAAAAAATATCTCCATCTAAAGTGAGCATATAAACAAAACAATTTTTTCTAATAAATTTTATGTTAATTAATGTTTCATTTAATTTATGGTTATGTATATTTATTATTATGTAGAATTACTAATATTAATTAAATAAATAAATAAATAAATAACTAAAAGTCGTACATTCAAAATTATTTAAGTATTTTATAATATAAATATAAATTACAACAATAAATATATTTCATTTAAGAACAATAAAAACATTATAAAATTATAATAACGATAAATATATACATATTCAATTTCAAAATTGAAAATATGTAAATAAATATAAATATAAAAATAAACGAATAAAAATATAGATATACGATATCAAAAATCAAAGAAAAAAAGACCAAATGATTTGAGTGTCAAACGATTGTTAAGAGATTGTAGATCTAAAGAGAAAGAAGATATATTATTTCACTAAAAGTATATAGAACTATCTCACTAAAAAATAAGATAATAAGGTGAAAATTTGGAATATACCATTTTATTCAAAATTTTATATTTAAATTTTATGGAAGTATAAAAAGAAAATTTGAAATTGTTATAATACCATTACTTTAAATATATAAGAGGTGTAAATTTCTACATATCAAAAGTAAAAAATTAATGGTAACTTTATTCATGAATTATACAACGAAACACACAGAGAATGATATTATAGTATATTACATGTAAAAATGTAGGTTTACACCATGATATTTGATTACGTCTAAATAAAATATCCTAAAAAATCTAGAAAATATTATTTGAAAGTTTAAGAGAAAGTAAAAAATTAAAATTATGCACACATTGTTTTAACAATATTACTATGTTGTATCCATTATTTTAACACCATTGTTTTAACAGTATGAAAGTTACGAATATATAAAAGTCAATAATTAAATCAACATTTTGTTATTAAATTTAATAAAATTATAAAACAAAAAAATGAGTATCGCATGAATCGATTCTAGTTGATATAATTGTACACAA